AGAGAGAGAGAGAGAGAGAGAGAGAGAGAGAGAGAGAGAGAGAGAGAAAAAGAAAAAATGAGAGGCAGTGGGAGGAGAGAGAAAGGAGAGAGGAATGGAGGGAGGGAGGGGAACTACACCATGGGTACACTACATGCAGTTACAGTTTCATTTACATCAATCCAAGATTGATAGCCTTAGACACATAAAAACGCGCTAACAATAATACTAAAAAGCGACAACACACCTTCACGAATAGTACGAAGATATGGGGTTTTGCTACGACAAAAAATAACATAAAAGATCTATATACGCGGGCCCACGCGCCGCGCCTATTATTATACAGTTACCTTACTAGGCATGATTAAAATAATTGAGGTAGCGCCACAATATATTTAAAATACGCACGCACGCACGCGCGCGCGCACGACCGCCCGCCCGCCCGCACGCACGCACGCACGCACGCACGCACGCACGCACACAATTGATCAATAATAACGTACATATCCAAGGCCGTGATTGTCAAAAGTCTATAATTACACGTTAGCATAACCTAATATATATATATATATAATATACATATATATATATGAATACTATAACTATAACTATAACATATACAATTAACGTGCTCTTGTTATTATCGACTCATGATGATCACGTGGTCGGCTGTTCCAGCACATGCGAGCACACTCCAGTCGCATCGCATAACCTGGGAAAAACAGGAATTCTTCCCAACAAAACAGGGATTCCTCCAGCGTTTCCCATCTGGACAATGCCGATAACCGTCAATACTACTTCATAGTCTCCCCGGTCGCTTTCCGGATTGTCTGGGATCTCCTTCTGCGATTGATAGTGGTGATACCAAGCTAAGCTGTGCAATCTAACTCTACACTGAACTAGTTTACACGTGAGCGACAGTAAAAGCACCTATGAATAAACTCCGCAAGATGTTTCGCACTACACAACTACCGCGACAAATTGTATATATATCGACCATGGATATAACAACTGCGTATACACGATATTATCATCCTAACGAGACCTAAACTCATCGTCCCGTGATAATATAGACGTACTGCACTAACACCGTGTTGGAGGTAAGATCGAAAAGAGAACGTGGTTTTGCTGGTATTCCAAACGTCTGACCAGCGCCACACGCCTCTAGAATGTCTCCACTGTGTGAATCCTGGGGTCCGCCACGTAGCTGACATGGTATTCCACCCATCTGACCAGCGCACCGCACGCCTCTAGAACGTCTCCACTGTGTGAATCCTGGGGTCAGCCACGTAGCTGACATGGTATTCCACACGTCTGACCTGCGCACCGCACGCCTCTAGAACGTCTCCACTGTGTGAATCCTGGGGTCGGCCACGTAGCTAACATGGTATTCCACACGTCTGACCTGCGCCACACACGCCTCTAGAACGTCTCCACTGTGTGAATCACGCTGTGGGCGAGGTAGGCTACCTCGCTGCCATACGCGGCGCCGCACACCTTGCACAGGTAGCTGCCGTCCTGCACCGCCGGCGCCCCCTGGCCGCACTCGAGCACGCCCGTCTCTCTCGCCGGAGCGTCAGCCTCGCTCGATTCCACGTCGTCTTGCGAGAGTTCCTCGGAATACCCTGCGTCCGTGTGCAGCCTGCCATCAAGCGCCGCGAGGTCGCTCAGGGAGATAGACCCGTTGTCTACCACAGCACTGCTGCTCAGGGTATTGAATCCACTGACTGGTCGGGTAGGCAAACTAGAGGCAATGGGTCTGTTGTCTAGAGGTATGAGGCTACTCAGGTCGATGGCTTCAGTGTCTAGAGGTATAGGGCTATCCAGGGCGACGCCTTCTGTGTCTAGATATGTAAAGCTTTTCGTGGCAATGGCTCCTGTGTCCAGATCCATAGGGCTACCAGAGGATATTGCTGCAGTGTCTACGTATGTAGGGCTACCAGAGGATATGGCATCCCCGTCACCACCGCCCGCCTCCATCCCCGTCACCACCGCCCGCCTCCATCCCCGTCACCACCGCCCGCTGCCCTCCCCGTCACCACCAACCGCCTCCCTCCTGGCTACCACCGCCCGCCACCACCGCCCATGCAGGTATATAGTTTCCCAACGCGTTTTTGAGCAATGATTTCGAAATAATTTTTTTTAAATAACTTGTGATTGAATAGCAGGCAGGCGTGCGTATGCGCAGTAACAGCAAATTTATTGCACGGTCAACGACACGGCTGATGATGGTTTACCTATGCCGCGCTGTTGGCTTTTCTATTGCTAGAAGTAGGAATATAAAGTACTTCCGGATGCAGCTGTGCGAGGAGCGACGGGGCATATAAGGGCAACCACATCCCGAGCCCTGTAATCATGAGTCTTCGGAAATCATCGTGTTTTGGGTCGCGTAGCGGTCAGCGTGATCACGCAAGCTATTACTTGTAATGATTTTTTTTCGCTGAATCCTTAACAATTTTCGCATTCAATTTCGTCGCAGAATAACGAATTTTTAAAAAATACAACGGATTTGTCTTTTTTTAATTCAATTTATTTTTATTTTTGACTGAATCCCGTACAGCATTGACTCAACAGTGTAGCATGAACACAGGCATAATAATACAATAAGTAAATATCATACAATATCGTAATTCAATACAAAAATCTCCTCTTTGCCACGGTCATTTCTTGATAGACACAGAGTCAAGAAATACCCAAACACCCAAACCATGATTTGTTGTATGTTATTTGTTAGTAAATATGCAAAGATCTGTAGCAACCACAGGTCCACAGCGCAATATGAACGTCAACAATCAACCCATAGTGCCACAGACGCACCCTCAGTCCTCTTGTTCATTCCGCATCACTTTGTCTTCGTATGCATTTTAACCGCCGGCTGTGCTTAGAGTGACAATCTAGGTAATAAATATCACGCCTGGTGGAGAATTATAGGTGTTATATAGCGGTAATATAGAAGCGTCATTATTTATGTATACGCTACAGCACATCGCAGCAGCAGGGAGTTCCCTTTGATAATTGAGCTTCTACTCAGGTATGCATTATTCAAGCAACATACGCGTGTGTGTATTTCGCTCATTCTGAATCGAGTCATTAATTTTGACTTCGTAATTATGATTTTGGGAGATAGAAGGCATGCGCGGGCACATTATATTATGTGTAAATACACGTAATATTTTGCAGTATTAGAGATACTTAAACTGAGGATGTTCAGATATGAATTATCATTAAAAAATCTAATATACGTGTTCTCTCTGGCTTTGAGCCTATAAATTCGAATCGACTTTGCTTTAATATAAATTTTACTTCTTGCATGTGTACATAACATGCTTACTGACTTTCAGACAAACATCTAGGCGAATATGGTGACAGAAGTCCGATCCACACATAAGACAATGATACCACATTTTACACAACATCAATGTCACAGCGCTACACCATAATAACTTCAAGCAACAAAGATTTAGCAATAGTAACAATACACATATAGGCCATATATACGCACTCACAAATTATAGAAGCTAAATAATGCACATATTATTCACAAACATGGGGAGGGAGACTCAAAATAATTTTTGATGTCAAAGTTTTAGCAACGTTATTGGATTAAATTTTAATTAAAATATTCAGTGAGTCTGAATAATATATTTAATTAAAAAATTAACGTTTATATTACGTCCCCCCCCTATTATGTGCACAATTATATCGATAGATATATAATGAGTGAACGCGAACCGGCATGAAAAATACGCATTACGCATTGAAAACACTATTGTTGCGTATTTGTACGCGTATTTTGCAACCACCCCGTGCCAAGCGCCGAAGCCAATCAAATTGCCATCCAATTCCGATAACATCGACTAACTACAATGTCGGCAACAATATAGGCAACAAAACGCAACCGGCTTCCAACACACACAAAAACACAATTGCGTTTCTAATTCCATCGATCGCGCTTTACCTTTACAACTTATTTATAAATAATAAAACGGCGTTTATAAAGGTTATTAGTGCAAAATGTACGGGTAATGAGACCTGATTAGGTGGCGGGGGGGAAGGTGCTCGCCGTTTGACTGGTAGACATGTACGAATATGGGAATGGGCATCACTGCGGGATAGAGAAAAACCAGGTTCTACTAGACTACGCACGCACGCACGGACGTACACACATGCGCGCACACACACACGCACACACACACACTCGCACGCGCCCACACACACACACTCGCACGCGCGCAGACACACACGCATACTCACACTCACACACGTGCACACACACATGCACGCATGCATACGCACACACACACACGCACGCATACATTTAGTCCCACACACTAACAACTTCTCTATCCTCGACCTCGTCCTTGAGTCTGTATTCAGATCAGAATTCAGATCTTTCACTGCTCAAAACTTTGCCAGACGATTTCGGGAAAAGCTTAGATGAGCGAGAAGTAATCGTTTGGCTCCCTGGGATTTGGACAACCTCTAGGATATGAGAGCATGCATGGCGAGCTGTGCTTGAACATCGCTGGAAAGCCAAGAGTTATTTAATTGCCGTGGGGAATACCAATATGAAGGGAGGCCCAGTGTTATTGCTGTTACTCCTGCTGCTGATGCTGCTGCTACTGCTGCTGTTGTTACTGTTGCTGCTGTTGCTGCTGTTGTTGCTGTTGTTGTTGTTGTTGTTGTTGTTGTTATTGTTGCTGCTGCTGATGATGATGATGGTAATGATAAAGCTATTTCTCATGCTGCTGCTGCTGCTGCTGCTGCTGCTGCTGAGGATGATGATGATGATGATGATGATGATGATGATGACGGTAATGATGATGATGATGATGATAATGATGATGATGATGCCGTGTCTGCTTCGGACTATTTTTAGTGCCAGGTCCTATTTCGCCTGCACTCTCATCTACTGATTTCCTCACGGTTAAGTGATATTGCTTTCTTAAAAACAATCCATTAAGCCATGCTGTGTGCACCTCTATATATCAAATGTCTCTATGCAATATGCTTACAATTAATCTGCTCTGCACCACTGTCCTCGGCTGTGAGTATAATAATACGTCACGTCCCTTCACCCCTATCCCGTTACGACGAACTAGAGTTTGAAGTCTTAGCGTCTTGCTTCAATAAAATAGACTCCGATTGAATGTCGTGCATGGGCTACTGCCTTAAATGACAAATTCAGCGAAAATTCATCACGACTGATGCGTGTGTGCGTGCGTGTTTGCGTGCGAGCGTACGTGCGTGCGAGCGCGCGTGCGTGCGAGCGCGCGTGCGTGCGAGCGCGCGTGCGTGCGAGCATATGTGTACACGTGTTTTTCGCAATACGGTCGTGAATATTGAAACCCTTCGCGCGTACATGTCGCCCTGTTTCGCTTGTATTTTCATCAGGAAAACTCTACTCGCAGCCCAACTCATGAATGTCGTATATGGCTGAATGTCTACTGCTAGATTATACAACAGAAAACCTAGCGAATGTGGATTATTTTGTTATACGTTTTACGTTTGTACGTGCTTACGTTTGACGGACAAGTAATGATCAACTCGTGGATTGTTTACGTCATTCGAGGCACTACGACCACAGATATTAACGGGATAAATAATTCAAAAAGCGTGAATTAGTTGAATGCACATAAGTACCTTTAAATGTAAAATAAATACATTTTACGAATATTTGCAGCGATTTATTGCAAATGAATATCGAGCTGTATAGTTTGAGGGAAGGCACCTTTGATGATTGCTGACGTCTGAAGCATACGTGGATTAATGCGATCATACATCATGCTACGGTGTCTCCGCTTTTTTCTAACATCAAGCACGGAGTGCATGTTCACAAACTATTACTACATGCGCGTTGATTGATGAGTTGAATAGATGACGTCGCGCAATAATCGTTGCTCACGGCAACGCGTGCGTGCTGTCTGCGCGTATAGACCGTAATATTTTGAAATGCGTAAAAGCAGATGACTGCATGTATGCTCGCGTAGTGTAACGATGTGATGATGCGTGAATATTCATGGCTACGGATATGGTATTTATGCATAGGCGTATAGTTTGGCAACTGGTCACACAAATAGTCGTTGTGTGTATTGGTCAGACTGAAGAACATGCGCGCGCGCTCGTGTGTGTGTGTGTGTGTGTGTGTGTGTGTGTGTGTGTGTGCGTGTGTGTGTGTGTGTGTGTGTTTGTGTAAGCGTGTGTGTGTGAGTGTGTGTAGGTGCGTGTATTTCTCTCTCACCCGTATAGGGGCACGCTATATCCTCCGGTGGCGTTCACATGTAGGCTCGTCAGACGCATTTCCGTACAGTTGGCGTCCATGCCCAACACACCGCTCCCTGCAGTCATGGTAGCTGCTGCTGCTGCTGCTGCTGCTGCTGCTGCTGCTGCTGCTGCTACTGCTGCTGCTGCTGCTGCTGCTGCTGCTACTGCTCCTACTGCTACTGCTGATGCTGCTGTTGTTGTTGTTGCTGCTGCTGCTACTACTGCTGATGCTGCTGTTGTTGTTGTTGTTACTGCTGCTGCTGCTACTGCTGATGCTGCTGCTGTTGTTGTTGCTGCTGCTGCTGCTGCCACTGGTGGCGGTGGCGGTGGTGCTGCTGCCGTTCACGTCAGCTTATTGCGTTAGCTTTGCTGGAAATACGTTCACGTACATATTAACCATATTAACACAAACAAACAAACACATTATTACGAGGTGTAAATAAATATATATGTATAAATGAATAAATAAATGAATAAATGAATAATTTAATAAAATATATTCCACCGTTTTTAGGTGA